TTCAACGACACGCTTTGTTTATCACACGATACCTCAAATTTTGTTAATTTATTATTACAATTTCAAAAATATTAAGGAACTTAACGTTAAATTTTGTCAGAATGTAATTGAAGATATGGTCGTTGGATTTTCTAGAAAAATAAATGTGTTGAAAGTTTTTTTTCAATTCAACTGTATAGTTTGATCGTATCATATCTTACAATAGCAGGGAAAACACGCGTAAAGTTTTCAGTTTAATGCAATGTGCTGCTGCGGGACATATACTTCAATCCCTGATTTTCGGTGACTTGGTTGTGCGAATTTAATGGATGAACTCATACTTTGGTTTCTCTTTTCATGAGTTATAATATCCATTAATCAATTTGATATTTGTAGTTTATATGAGTCTCTAATTTGAAATGTCATTTTCTGCATATTTTTTCATTGTTTTTATTATTTTGTGCTATTTTTCATGGTGTTGCAGGTTGCTGTGACGAATGTATGATGGAATATTGACGATGTGGACAAAAAATGATACGTACGAAAATTCCGATACCAATAACGATTAATGGATCTTCGAGTACTAAAAATAAAATTGATGTAAAGATGTGGTACCATATAATTATTATTTTTTTTTCAAAAGTTATTAAGTAAGGGTAATTTAGTAGTTTAATAAATGTCATTTTATGTAAATATTTATTTTGAAAAGTAGAAAATGACATTCGAAATGACAGATTGTATTACTTAAAACCCTCACAAGGAAAATTTACAAGATAAGAACACATGTTAACTAACCGATTTGACCCACCACATGATGGAATCAGGGAAGAACACTAGCAGAGTGCCCTAGATTAACACTACAACCCAATCTATTATCAGGGTAAAGACAACTAACTTGAAAGGGAGTGCTGAAATTGTTAGCTATACGCCTACATCCACTAAAAAACAAAAATACCCACAATGGGCTATCTACTACTCCAACTAGTGGAGAGACAAGTCCAACAAGTGGAAAGTAAGAATAAAAACAAACTAAACACATACCTAACTTAAATAGACTAATACCTCTCCTAGACAACGCGGGCAACCCAAGCCCTAACCATGGCCTAGCGCACAAGCCACATCCAACACAAAGAAACTCACGACCAGAACCTAAAGAGCTGCAGATACAAAATCTGAAACTAAAAATTCCACCAAAGGGCTAGTTAGCACCGACAAAAACGCGAGCCTTGGTCCACATTTGAGATCTCAAAGTCGTTGATCGGGGAAGAAGAGAGCACACAAGGTACAACTTGGGTCGCCACACCGAGAGAAAACGAACCTGAGCACCCGAAGGGAGCAACTGCCAAATGATCTGAGCGCTGCACCCGAGAGTAATCATCCGCCGCCTACCAACAAAAATCAGAGAAAAGAGAACAAGGCGGACGCCAACCGACCGAGACGAGAAAGAAGGCAGAGCTACAAGGCTGCGGTCCTCACTCTTGCCGAAGAGAGAGCGGCGCAGCGACGCTGCCGCTTACCCTCTCCCACGGAGGCAGTAGGTGGCGCAACAAAATTATCCTTCCTCGACCTAGGTCGGAGACGATTGGCAGAGGCACGGCGGCCACGGAAGCCAGCGAGCGAAGAGGTAGCAATGTGAGTTTTAGTTATTACCGAGAATTTATTTTTCTTTTTGGACCAAAATTGGTTTGGGGCGCGTGTGTGCGAGTGATGCTCAATATTTTAATATAAATCAACATCGCCACGCCCACGCGATCCCTACACAAGAATTTTACCCGAATTATTCTGGTTTGCCCATTTACTCGCCTTTTCTTTCTTGGAGGAAAAAGGAAAGACCTTTTTTTTTTTCACCTTTTTCCTCTTCACTTGGTGGTTGCGTCTACTTGCTGAAAAAATGGCTGAGAAAGTTCATTCCTTTGAGGAGGTAGCTAAGCACAACAAGAAAGATGATTGCTGGCTTATCATCTCTGGCAAGGTTATCTTTTTATTTTTATTTTTTATTTTTTTATTTTTTTTTTCACCCCCTTTTTTATTTCCAATTTTTCGCTGAATCTTGAACTAGAGACGTGCTTGCTTGTCGGGTTGAAGCAATTTTCTTTTTTTAAGTTCGATTCTGTCTGAAAGTTGCGATCTTGTGGTTTTCATGAAAAAAAAAAAAATCAATCTTGAGTTGAATCTCAAATGTTTGTTTTCGTTGAAGTTAACGAGGTTGAGATACTCGAATGCCGAGTTAAGTGGGTTCTGATTCAAAGTAAGTGATGGGTTTCAATGATTGAAGCTGTTAATGTAAGTGAAAATGTGGTTAGGACTGAAATTAAGCAAGGTTTGAGCTCTATCAAGCGATCTATATAAAAGGTCTGTGTGTAACTTTGTTAACTTAAACTATCTGATTGACTCTTATAAATTCAGATTATATAAAGATCTGCTCTGCCAGACTCTGTTTTTCCCAAATTATGGTGGATTTGGTTTGTGTGTTTAATTTTTATTTTTATTTATTTTTTTTTTCTGGGAGTTACTGAGGTTTTCACTAGATTTCGTGCAGTGGAGTCACCGGGGTTTTCAGCGTCGGATCAACACGTCACTATGAAAGACCCCGTGACTTCAAAAGGGTCGAATTTTCCATGTTTTGCCTTAGAAATGTTATTTTAACCGCGATTTAAACGACGCTAGATCCTTGACTTCTAGAGCTTTGCTGAAGATTTTTAGTACTTGTGTTTCAATTGGTGTCCTGTCGAACAAGTTTAGACGTGCAAAATGCCTCAAATGCCGTGAAGTTAAGAAAAGCGCAATGTCCATAAGGATTTTCGGCTTTTATGATCCTTAACACAGTTTGATAGAACTTGAAGAGGATCGAGGTTACCTCATACTTACGGAGTATGACATATGACAGTGGTTTGTAGATTAGATATCTGTATTTTGGTTAATTTTGTTACGTTTGTACTGTGGCAAAGGAAGTCTAGAGACCATACCAGCTCCTCAATCTTCCCCTTTTACCCATTCCATCGCAAAACTGATCGGTTTTAATACTTTCTTCTCGGCTATCAATTTTCATTTAAATAAGACCAATTGTACCTGATTCAGATGGGATGTTTCGAAACTTAAAAATCATCAAAACTTAAAAGTTCATTCATTTTTTTTCTTTTTTTTTATTTCTTTTTCTTCATTGAACTTTTCATTTGCTTTTTCTGCATCTGAACAACTATAATAAATTCGCTTGTTTAACGCGCATAATGCATGATGAGCTACGTGGATATGTTTTTTTTTTTTTTTTTTTTT